AAAATATTAAAACAATCGGGATAGTGGTTTTCAAAAAGAGGTCAGAAATTGTTATTATTTTTTTTACCAAAAATATTCACTAAATTTAGAGAACTAAAGTTATTGTAATAAAATTTGAAAAATATCCACCCAAATATAAAATATTGAAGCAATTTGGTAAGGTGTTTTCACTTGTTATACACTTTTAAGTAAAACAATGGAGATTCAACCAAATGTTGAATGTTTATGACAGAAATAGCATAGATGACTATAAATAACTTGTAATTAGGTGCTACATGTATACATGTATATTGTACATGTACTATTAATGTTTGTTTTTTTCATTTGATATGTTCTAAGAAGAATACCGGGTAAGGTGCTTTATAACCTTTTCACCACCAATTCCCTCTTTTCATCACAAATTCACAAAATAGTCACATTTATAGAATGCACTTTTCTTCAAAAAATTTTGACCAAAATAGCCAAATTTTTGAGTTAAAACTGTTGGCTCCAAAATTAGGGTTCTTTTCCAGAATTATTGAAGAATATAAAAAAAATGCAGAAAAAATTGGGAGAGAAAGTCTGGCAGTGAAAAGGTTAAACAATAGCAATCATATTGATTTTTACCATATAATTATTTTCTGCCTAATAAATATAAACCACTCTGATATTTCAATAAACAGATACTAATGCACTAAAATGTAGCAAATAGTGTACCATTACAGTGTATGTGATGTAAAAAAAACATGTGAGTTTATACCTATGTAACGGTGTGTCTTCAGTAGAGGAGCGGAATTCATCTGTTACCTTCATCTCAACCTCAACTCTATCAAGATGCTTATGAGAAGAAAACAAAAAGACATTCAACTGCATCATGCATTAATATTATGCATTATCATATACCACGTACTGCCCAGCCTTAAAAAACTATAAGAAACCTGATGAGTCAGCTGTGTAATAATTTCCTAAGTATGCTAAGCCCTGTTTAATCATAATCAAATGAACATATTCCTTTCATAGATTTAAAACATGCACTCATAACTGATTCCAGATAGTAACAGGTATACTGTGTTAAAATTGTAGCAAATTTATTTTATACATGTACACGATGCTACCATCATGTTGTGGGACTTATATATGTAAATCTGTCAGATACGGAAATCTAACCGAATTCAAGAAATTACGTGATTCATGCACCTTATTGTCTGTTAAGTTAAGAAAATAGCAATCTACACTGTGCATGTTTCCAAAAAAAGCAAAAATGAACTTAATCCCAAAAATAAACAAATTTAAATACCAGTAGCTTGAAACGATTACATTTATTTTTAATGGAACCTATACAATATATGATAAAACTTTTATGGACTGGATACTACCATTGCACATATCCCTCACTTTTATGGCTAATGCACCATCACAAGCTAAGAGCACTTCTGTTGTATGACATCAGGTAGCAATTGACAAATCCAGTTCATAAAGATTAAAGTAAGAATTAATATAAAGCTTATAAAATTAGTGGCATTGTCACCAATATACATGTAATTAGGCAAATACTTACAAGAGCAGCAGGAGTAGTCTTGATTTTAGTCCATGGAATCTAAACATAAAATAAAATATAAGTTTTATTTACATCAGATTCAATATTTAATTATGATATTTAGTGTGAAATATCATTGCTAAAATAGTATGATAAATGTCATATCAACATTTCAAGCAATATTGAACATCAAATGCAGAAAAACAAATCATGAAACTTTACAGCAACGTGAGAATCTCTGACGAGATAAATTAAATAAATATTATAATATACCATTCATAAGCATACAGTTCCCGGGAATTGAAACATTTTAGGACAATCAGTGTTGATTATGTCTATAAAAGTGTTTGATTTTTGATTGCCAGAAATACAAGACACTTGTATTAACCATGCAGCTCTATGAGCATATGATATCAAATGACATTCACATAAGATACACCACAGTCCCTCTACCATCAGTCTGGAAATGCTTACTGTTTAAAGTGTCAATCAACTGGACTAGTGGGACAACTAGTGGCAATCCATGAAGCATGGTGACTTAGTGCGTTATATGGTCACAGTGGTTTGGTCAAGATTTTAATATTTTTGGCAAGAATAAAACCCATTTTATGAATAAGATATAATTATTTCATATTTTGACAGTATATATAATTATTCTGTGTGATGTTTCTTACTGTGGAACTATGAGCTATTTCGTTTATGAGCTATGTCCCTGTTATTCTTTGTGAAACTATTAAAACAACGGCAAGTGTTTCATTTCGGAAGTTCAAAGCATCTTCAAATTGGTCAGCTGGTTGAATATATAATTTTAAAGGTAGTTTGTTCCAAAAATCATCTGCATTTTAAGTAAAAGTGTCCATGAAATCAAAATGGCGATGTCTTTATTGATGGGATAATTGTTTGGCAGAATGACTTCGTCTTGCATATTGTTTAATAGACAGAATTTTCCAATACTTAGGTTAATATTTGTATTATATTCAAAGAATTAAAATGAATGTCCTGGCAAAAAAAATGTTGTCCTTTTCATTTCATTCATGGTCCATTACAGCGGTCGCACAAGTCAAGTTTTGTCCCCAATTACAAGAGAATGGCATGATTAGAACAACCTGTTTCGAAATTGTTATGGTAGTTTAATTACATTTTAATATTAAATAGATTATTGAACAATATTCCCAAATAACTTCTTTTAGTATTCTTGATTTTAATATGGCCATTGACAAATACACATGCACACTGATGCTAAAATCTGTAAGTTAATTATAACGAATGGAACACCTTCCTGCAATGAACACTTAACAGAATATGCCAACAGTTTATTTACCCACTATGAGCATTGGTACAACATTGCATTTCAGTTCCAGACTGGCGATAGAGGGACTGTGCATACACATACCAATTTTTGAACTTTGTGAGGCCAAATAAGTACAACATACAATGCTAATCTGACTTTGTGACACACCTATGTGTACAAAATGGTATGTTGGGCAAATAATAATCAATCATTAACCCGTCTTCCTCCACACCTTTCGCCAATACTGTCAAACACAATCTACTATTTTCAGGAAAAATTTACATGTATAATGACATAATTTGAAAAAATTGTTATAATTTTATTCATTTTTAAAAATTGTTTTCCGTATTATGTGTAATTGCAGTTATATATTCTATTTTTCACCTTAAAATGTGTATTTTTGGTCAAAAACTGAAACTATTTTCATGTTTGGGTACATTGTGTCATTGGAAATCCCTGACCACATATTGACATTCCTCAACCTGAACAGTTTTGTGATACATTCTCTGACTTGATAATATTAGTAGATTGGGACAATTAATCTCTACAAATTATGCGTAGGGCTATACTGTCCCTAACAGTGTGTATGATTCGTCATGAATTCAAGCCTAAATTAGTGTTGAACCATGCAGTGCAGTCTGGGTGCAACATAACTTCCAAGCTGGCTGTCTGCTGGCCATCCGCTGGCTATACGCTGGCTATCTGCTGGCTATCTGCTGGTTATCTGCTGGCTATCTGCTGGCTATTCGCTGGCTATCTGCTGGTTATCTGCTGGTTATCTGCTGGCCATCCGCTGGCTATCTGCTGGTTATCTGCTGGTTATCTGCTGGCTATCTGCTGGCTATCCGCTGGCTATCTGCTGGTTATCTGCTGGTTATCTGCTGGCTATCTGCTGGTTATCTGCTGGCTATCGACTGGCTATCGACTGGCTATCGACTGGCTATCTGCTGGCTATCCGCTGGCTATCTGCTGGTTATCTGCTGGCTATCGACTGGCTATCGACTGGCTATCTGCTGGCTATCTGCTGGCTATCGACTGGCTATCTGCTGGCTATCCGCTGGCTATCCGCTGGCTATAGTTTCATTGTCAATAATTTCTACTTACATGTATTCTTTGTAGTACATGTATGTACCTAATACATGTACATGTGTGTAACTAATTAGAGACATATTTAGGCAGATCACACTGCATACTTTAGATATGTGGCAGTTGATATAAGCTACAGTTGTAAACTAGCTAGAATCCACTCTGAATCTAATACGTTGCTGATTATTATTGTTATTATGAAATATTTGCTTCATGTTGGGTGATTTGTTAATTTGGGTACACAATAGTACTACAGATAAAAACATTTACCTCAAAATATTAATCATTGATAATTCATTCTGTGTTAGTAAATTGAAAAAAAATATTGTATTAATTATTAAAATTACATTAATCACATATTTTGTTATTATTTTTGAATTATTGAATGTCTGATAAAACAAAAATTAAGCCCCCCCCCCCCAAATGAACATAAACTGTATTTTTAGAATGGTTGCCAAGAATAGATGATGAAAATTTTTCTCATGCAATTGATAAAGTCTTGTTGCTAGGCTACTGGGCATGCATCTGTTTGAATGATTATATATTTAAAGTTGATTATATTTTTTCGAAAAAAATGACTTTTGTTTGGTATTTTTTAAAAGATTAATTTATTTTCATGGCTATTCAGAACATATGTACATGGATACCAAGATGACGTAAATTCAGTCATATAGCCTGATTCATCAGGTGTGAATGATTAAACGTTTTACAGATGTGCACTACAACATCAAATCAACATGTATGAAACAAATCCGAAGCTGGCGTAAGTAAAAATGTGGAACTGTGTGTATTTGTGATAACGGGTCATATCCTTATTTGCATTTTAATTGATGCCATCATGGACATTGACTAGAAACCAGAGAGACCCCAGAATCATCTACAGATCGAATATCGCCAAATAGTACAAATGTACCTTGCTATGAATAAATGAATATTACAGAATTTAGAGTAGATATCATCAGTTAAGATCTCCTAGACTACTAAAACATGCTAATTGTTCTAAAGAGCTGAGTGGAACTCTGCAGTATATCTGTGATAGCTAAATATAGAAATTCAATGAAACTAAACTAATCATACTTTGTTACGACAAGGAAATGGTGACATTTCAAAGTACCTTGTAACGATTAAATGGATTGCTACTGTATAATCAGTGTTTCAGTTAACCTATTAAGTATCGCTACTTCTTTATTTATTTCAGGAACAACAGGCAAGATTATCCATGATGACATTTCCCAGGTATTATGATATTTTGACCGTTCCACTAGAACATCACAAATACATTTATCTATGTTTCTAGTTCTTGCATATAATGGTTTTTAAAATCAACATGAACTTTTCATAATTTTGATATAACAATCAAACACTAAGCGACCACCTTCATGGAATATCACCTTTGATCTACTACATGTAACACAATAATTTCATCACTCAAAGAAAATTAAGACGTAATATTATTATTACTGGTATTATTATTTCCGTGAACAATTTGAAGCATTTTGAAATTTGGTAGGATCTATGTACCATGTAAATTGTCCCTGTTGGGAGACAAACCCAAGAGAAAAGATATTTAATATCAAAGGGGTACGAGTTCCTTAGGGTCCCTCACACATATTATTACCCCTCCAGTGCATACCATATATACCGTATACATGTAGTTATTTGAAAAGGGCATAAAAACTTCTTTGGAATTGAATGTACTGTATCATGAGGGTCTTTCTAGGAAAATAAATAAATCACTGTGAAGTATAATAAATTTCCATGAAAAATGCTAACATCTTCAATTGTATGATACATGTATGTGTACGTGTCCCATGTGGAAATATGTTGGAAAATTATGTCTGTATTTTTTTTGATCACTCAGAATTACCAAATCTTAACGTAAGTCTGTTCGTATAAAAAAAGCATTAAACCTTGAATCTGAATAATCCAATATTTTGAAATGAAGACCACATAGCTGCTTTTATTGCTATGAACTCCCTAAGTTGTTGCACATATGTGTGGCAACATTTGGATGCTGTGAAACCCATTAAAACTCTACACATGGATATATGTTACCATACTTTGCACACATTTGTAAAACATAATATACTAGCCCCTACACAGCAATAAACAGCTTAGAATCTCCTCACAAGGCAACTACATGTACAATAATTATTTTGATTTAAAAAGGCATAAAGTTAAATCAATACAGGAATTTAACTACAAGACATGCATGTATATTTAAGAGTGATGTGTGAACAAAATGTAGAGTAACTTGTAATACATGGAGACCATCATTTTAGTACATTACGTATAAGTCAGTATATTTAAAAGTGACATGTGAACCAAAGTAACTAGTATAGTGGTACATAGGACGACATTTAGGTCCTTTACCTTGCAAACAGAAAGGAACATAATGTGTTTTTTTTCATGCAACAACCTGTTTATTTTCAAAATTTTCAAATTTTAGGATTACATACAACTGATTATATAAAATTATTAATCCACGCACATTACAGTGTGTATAGAGTTGAAATTGCCATAAAGATAAATCAGATGCTGAGTCTTAACATACCTTGACTCCTAATTTGTTGCATTTTGCTTTTGTAACTACCAGCCATGTTGGTAAGTCCATTAAATCCATTAAGACGTCCTCATTTAGCTCAAGATTGTGCAGCTCCCCCTCTCCTTTCAGTGTGCTGATGTTTATCTTATCAGATGTCACATTTTTAGCAAACCTGCAAAGTACATGTATGATATTAGATCAGTATTACAATCAATACATAAGCTTAAAGCATAAAATAAACAATACATTTTTAATACACATATTATATATGTAACACTGGATCTATATTGAACACGATGTGGCACAGAGACTGACACTTTATGGATGGTCTCCCATTGTCTATTTTTATTGGTGATTGCTGTGTTCTTTATCAATTTGTAAAGTTTATCAGGCTTATGAATTTGCCAATTTTATATTTTTAAATGTACATGTATATAAATATTATTAATAACTATAATATCACAGCAGGAGAAGTCAAAAATAGCAGACTAGAGCAAAAATAAATCAAACTACCAGTAATCATCAAAAATAGAGTAATGCAGATACATGTATTGACCCAAATAAACAAGTCACAAATGACATTGCCCCTGTCAATCATTTAAGTGCCTTTGAAATAATATGAAGTCACTTAATATGAAGATTAAGCATGAACGTAAAGTTTGAGACAGTAACATTGAGCCAGAGAAGCAGGTACAAAATGCCTGCCAGTCTGCCATCTTAAATCTGATCTTGCTCTCAGAAAAAATGACTGAAACTGACTACACAGCTCGCTATCTTTGAAGCTGGAAGAGAGAATGCAGGACGGTGTTACACTGTAGTTACAACTTGTTAGTAATTTCTTTGATTGTCATTATTCAACAATAAACACGTATTAGATAAACCAAAGACATTTTTGAATAAACAACATACATTCACACTATTTCCTCAGGTGTACTACCAGGAACATCTGTATATGTCATGTTCATCATACTTTTATTATTATACATGTACATGTACATGTAGGTTCATGCTATTAGGATATCATAAATGAAAACAAATCGAGGTGACCGAACAAGTTAGAAATATCATGAGAAATGGTCAAGACATTTTTACACTGGTTTCTATAGTGACATTATTTCTTCATATCTTGAAATTTTGCTCAGTGACATGAAATACAAATTTATATATACATGTAGATATATAGATCTTAATATTGTGAAAACATTTCACAAAATTTACATACATTTCCAGGGTGAGAATAGTTTTCCCATTATGTACAACGGGAGGTTATCACCCATAATGCATTGCATCTATGTGCAGTAACATGCTCAGTAATGCAAAATTCAACTTGGATCAAAACTTTGGGGGCCAAATTATAGTTAAATAGTAGTAGTCTACAACTCAGTGACAGTACCATGACAATGTGTGACAACATGGATAGTGGAAACACAGTACAGTATGTGCCACAGACAGAGTTATAATTTGTTCTGTTAATCTGTTATACCGGTACATGTATATCATGGGTATATATTCTGACATACATGTATGGTACCAGTGTGTCCTCTAAACAGACCTGGTTTTGCAGAGATCTTGAGTTAAAATGGAATGCCAAAAATTAAGTTTGGTCAGATTGTGGGGAGAGAGAGAGCTTTTCAAGAAAAAAATCAAAGTGCTATTTTGTAGCATCAAACAAAAATGTTGTGGCTGTCTTCTCACTTATTTTATTTATAAAATGTGAATTTTTTTTTCCCGAAATTGCAAATCCCTCAACTATAGTAAGATTTTTCTTGTTAATGGCACTAGACAAATATCCTTGGGCATTATAATATCAGTTTACTATTATTGCTGCATATCAATATTTCATCAGCGTAAAGCGATATTTGACGTGGGTTGATATTGTTCTTTGCAACGCCTCCATTGAAATCAACCCTATTTACATCCCGATTTTTTGTTACATCCTCTAGTTCAAAAAACAATGACTCGTAAGTCGTGAAATAGAGAAATAATACTACTAATAAAATTTACTAGCAAATGCATACAAGTTTATTATTATAATCATGTATTATGCTCAAGTATACTCATGTACAGTTGTATATACCCAATGGTTTTCACTTGAAAACAGTCTAGTTCAAATTCGAATGAAGTGACTTGATTCACTAGGCAGCTAAATAATAGTTCATCAATCAGAAATAAATTAGAACAGCTTACAACATAGGCTTAGACAGTGTAACTGCTGTTTAAGTTTAAAACATTTAGGTTTATGAATAATTAATAACATACATGCCTTTGCCAAGTTCTGTGTAACATGACATGTACCCACAGTTGTGGTTTGATAATTAGGGGTTATTTGCAGTTAATACTGGAGATAATGTGTTGTATACTGGAAGAAGGAATGTTTTTTTTTTTCACAATGTGTAGCACAGGAATAATTATCAATACTGCTTCAAACAGTACCATATGTTATCTCCAGTATTAGACATGAATGACACTGAGAACTGTATTTGCTGTCTATACAAACATTTCGCTGATTTATTTATGAAGACATTTCCACAGTGGTTATCACATAGCTCCATCAAGGCAGCAGTACTTTGGACAAAATTTTTTTTAATTTAGTATGAAATGAACGCTCAGAATTTGTGTCAGTTGAGTGTGCACATGTAGCATGTTCGATTATGCAAATTTTAATACATCACAACTCTGAAAGCAAAAAAAAAAACAATAACTTAGCTGATCTTTTCTTCCCAACAATACTATATGCATAATAATAATAAGGTTATTAACAAAATACTGGTAAATGTACGTCCTTGTACATTGTTCGCTTCAACATACTTATGTTCTATGCTTATTTGATAAAAGTTTTCATTGACCAGGAGGAGAGGTCAAGGGTCAGAGTACAATCACACAAAAACAATACAGGGGTAACAAAAATTATTGTAGGTCAAAGGTTACAGAGGCATATTATAATAATAGAGAATATCCCACTTTAAAATAAATTATTCAAGACATGTTTGTCACCTTGTTTCTGTATCCACATTAAGATATCCCACAATTCCCTTGAGCAGTCCACTAGTTTAAGTCAATGACCGAATGGTCCAATTATTTTATGCCTTTATGAAAACAGCTCGTACATAGAATTCAATCAAACGCTGTTTAGCACAATGACCAAATGGAATAACTTCAATAGGTGAAAAACACTTGACAAGTGAGCTGACAGTTCAGACGGAAACATTTTCTGGTCAGGTTAAAGAGTTAATGGGTTACTATTTTTGTCTTAGTGCTTTAGCAATGTATATTTACAATACATGTTTAGTTGGTTTGTTGCTGTATTCTCAACTGGTATATTTATTGCCAGTTTGTGAATACTGGTAAAATAAATTTCCATTGCTAAATTCTCAACTGGTAAGTTCAATAATTACAGTCCACATGTGGCTAGAAAATTGAGATAATGTTAGGCGTTATACAGAGCAGTAATGATAAATATCACTTACACAAATTCATTTTCTCTGTATGCAGAAGCTGAACAGAGAATCGTTTTAAGCAGATGAGATTAGTGATGTGTTTATTATTACATAATACAGTATCAATATATTGTGGGCACCATACTAATTATTAAATAAGATATTGCAACATATTATTTTATTATTATATTAGTCTATTTGTGTGATTCCAGTGAAGGCTACCACATTGTGGAGTTGTCGTCATGGTAGTTGGATGTTGTATCCATGGCAATCGAATAGATGAGTCATTTTGAGTCACCAAGGGAAATAAAACATGGTATTCCAGTATTAAACATGCCAGCACATTAAATTTGCCAATTAAAGCCGCAAAATGTTGATAATAACGACATAATTGGAAAATCAAACGTCGAAGATGTATAATTAACCTTTTCCTATCTACGTGCATGGAAAAGCATATCATTGTTGTTTTTTCAACAAATTTCTTTTGTCATGTGCACATATTTTAAGCACCTGGTTTTTTTAAACAATGGACCAAATTCCAGGTCTGAATTCACAGCAAACTGTCACTTTTCTATCCTTCACATTTATTGATACCACCATCAGCTCAGCTCAAAGAGATTTTAAACTACCGGTAGTATACTTATTCTCATTAAAGCGACTCCATTTTGATTACTGCAAAACACTTACCAATTACGAACAACATATAGACTTGTTAAAACAGCTAACTAAGCACAAATCTATGTCGATTTAAAATATAAAGAAGCAAAAATATATATATTTTCATATCTTTATCAATAATTTGTGAATATTGGTAAAATACATTTTTGTAGATGAATTCAAAATAAATAATTAAAGGTATTGTAGTATGCGAGCTTTTGGTGAGATGAATTTTCTAATTTCATTTGTGCATAACGGCAGGTAAATGAATGTGCCAATTCATAACATATGGAAAGATGTGATACTGCAAACGACTCAGTTTTTGCAAATTTGAAAAATTTTGTGGAATTTATGAAAATGTAGTCTCTCGCCAAATCAAATCGATTCAAAGTATATATATCAATGTTCAGGCTGTATATACATGTATTATAACAAATATATACATATTATAAAATGAGGTAACAGAATGAGAATATGACCTTTCACACTGTTATCCCCACACATTAACAGTCCACCAGCAAACAGAAATTTATCTCTCATGATCCTAATTTTTTGGTAATTTTGAACGAAATACCTAAGATGAGCATCCAAATTTGGTTAAATTAATTTTTATTAAATTTTAAAATTTAGATATATATTATGTGATCAGTAAAAATAAATCTGTTTCTTTGTTGTTTTGATTTTATTAAGCTGAAGAATCAGCAGAATCAATGTATCCCTGATAGCTGTTATCTGTACATACAAGTTGTATAAATTTATAACCGTGATGACCTGTAGGGGTCAACTTAAAAATTTACCTATCAGTATCCAATTTTTGATTATTCAGCTGGATTTGAGGTGAAGACGGGAGCAGGAGTTGAAAACCAAACCTAAAAAGCCATTTTCATTGCATTTTTTACTTTAACAAAGGCCAAAATTTTAAGAGTAAATATTACAGTAAGTATTAAGAATAGGTTGACACAAAAATGACACAAAGATGATTAGATACACAGAAAACAATGAACAATTAGGATAATTAGTTGTAACATGTTACTGATTACAGCAATGATACGTACATAATTTTTCATTGAGAATGATTCGTAATCATAATATTGTTGTCTGACAATCATTTTTGAAACTCTGACAACCTTGTCATGACAAAATTATATTTGCAATATATTTACTGGTAAATAAAAATTTAAACAAAATAATGATACATCTACGAAATACTCTCACTATAATCATATCTGAGATTAGTCAGATAAGATTTACAGATACTTTATAGTTACCGTGGTGATTATCATGTCAATGACACATCTTAAGTTTATTGTATGTATATATGTATTTCTTACTAAAATAACAAAAATCATGCTATGTTTTAATATGTTTCATAAAATTTAAAATCATACTTTTAATGTTCAGTTCAAAGTGCTTCTACTTTTATAGTTAAGCCAGTATTACAACGTAATCCTCTTAGAGTTTTTGCAGAACCTGATTTTCTATTCAATGAATCAATAATTAATTTAAAAAATTAAAATCCTCAGATATGGAGCTCTAGGGAGCAAACAATTACATCATAATACCATTATAGGAATCTCAGCTAAACTGTGTCTTCAAAGTACATTGTACAGAGTGAGTTATTCAGGCTATGGTGTTGAGCATGTCAATCCCAATCATGTAGATGATAGAATAGAAATTATTCACAAGCGTAAGCTCTTACAAGTTTAAGCTGCATCAACAAATCTTATTATACCAGTAATATTTCCAACATCAAGTATGTATATACTGTAAAAGTGTTAATTATTCACTGGATTTTGCTTATTTCGCTGACTGGAAAATGCGCTAAATTAAAACCCAGTGAATATGTAAAATTGAGCATAGAACACATTATCTAAATGATAGAACCATGATTATAACCCACTGAATATGCCTGAAATGCAAAATAAGTGAAATTTAAACCCAGTGAAAATTACTCATTCTACAGTAACCCATCTCAACCTGTGACGCAAAACACACCACATAAAAAGATTTGGGACAGAAAACTGATCTAACGATACTGCTCGTACAAAATTATAAATATTATATTCTTTTTGTTGATGATATCCTTGCATAAAAAATCTTGAAGTGGTTTGTGGCTAAGAATGAAAGAGAGATTACACACAATAATTGCTTTAAGTAATATTGATTTTGTCTGCGTTCACAAAAGAAATGTCAATACTACTTCTCATAATACACATCGTGTTTCTGTCACTTTTTAACCTTGGATTAAACTCTAAACAGATATACAAAAAAATAAAAAAATAAAATTACCTAGAGTAAAATTATTACTGTAAACCAGACACAACTTTGCATGCACACAAAAAATAATAATATTATTGCATTTATCATTTTTTTGTTTTTCAATACAAGATAATATGTATATAAACCATGCAAATTTCTACATTGATAATTAGAATTCTGATGAGATGTAATTTCTTGGCAAATAACCAAGACAAGTAAAGCTCAGAAAATCTTTAGATTTAAAATTTAGAATTTTAATTTAATCTTACAATAGAAACCATATTTATTCATTCAAGTATCAGTCATAACACACATTCAATTACACATATTGCTTACTGTACACCATTACATTTTTGCGATTTGAGGAAATTATGGCATTTGTGAGGATAAAAAGTCACAGAAGTCACTGAAACTTCAGAGAAATTTTTACTGCAACAATATTTTGTGATTTTCACAAAATATACAAAAACATGTTGCAAGAGATCCATATCAAACTAGATGTGGGGCTTGGTTTGATAAAAATGTACAATACTACCCTGACAATTGCGTGTAGCGAAAAACTACCAGCGATTTAATTGCACTGTATAGATATATATATATATATATATATATATATATATATATAAATTTAAATGCTTCCAGGTATTATAAATATAATATTGCATTGCATCTTAACTAAAATGAAACAGGGATGGTACAACCTTGAGTTGAGTAAAGTCTCAACAACCTAATTATCTATCCCAAGAGCAATAGATGAACTGATTATTTATCAGGTACATACATCAAGTCCTAATGATACAGGTTAACAATGACCTTGAACTGTAATGTAACGCAAAGGTATCACAAGAGATAAGCCATAGTATTGTCTGATGCAATGTCTTTTATTTGCTTTTCATTAATACCCCTATATGATGGGTATTATGCCATTTTATAATTTGTGCAGCCATTTGGTATGTGGAATACCATATATATGTATGAGGATATTCATCAGAGAAGTGATTAAAAACATTGATCCATTATTCTATCAGAATGACAACTAAGTGCTGTGTTGCAGTTACCAACTATTATATTTCTTACATTAAATCACTCAGTACTATATCTAAGAATGTTATTAGCATACTGAGATGTGTTAGGGCCATACTATACTAAGATGTGTTAGTGGCATCTTTATTAGTAGTACATGTGTTTACGTAAATGACAGAGGTACATAATGTATCTATGGTCGAAATAATTGTAATGACTGCACATACAATAAATGCAATTTTTGGTTTCTGTGCAAAAAAACATAATATAAAATGTATTATGTTTGTTTTTGACCTATAATATTTTGTTCATCTTATAGTCACGTTCACGCACAGCTCCTTAGTATGGGCTAAGAGGTCAAATACCTTAGTCCATGCTAAGAAAATTTGCATGAACGCTTAGCGCGGGCTAAGAAACGTTAAGTATGCATTAAATCTGGCCCATTTTTAAGTCCAGATCCTCAGTACTGGCTAACGAAGTGTGTGTGAAGGTTTAGCTTGGGCTAAGCACTCAAAACGCCATTGTAATCAATGTTTGTTTGGAAGATTTACTATTATATTCATAACTATTCGTTTTGATATGGCATTTCCAACATGACAATCAACATGAGCAAATCTAGAGATATTGTTCATGAGACAAAAATGATCTGATGATGATGACTTTGTGCTTCTTCCGGTTATTCTACATCTGCACTTTCTGAATTTGCTTTTATACTTAGTAACAGTAAAACTAACATGGATACATGTACCTTCCTAGTTACTGTATTGAGTAATCATAATTAAAATGACTGAAGATTTTTAGATATTTTGTATATGTTTGGGTGTTTCTTAGCCCGTGCTAATCACTGTTTCCTTCCACACGCTAACCAGTTTCCACCCACACGTGAACGCTATTTGGTCTATCTGATATGCAAACATATGAGATTATCTGTAGCATGAACACTATTTATGTTTAGTAATCAATATATTGACCAAGTTATAACAATAATTACAGGCCCATCTATTTTTGCCAATCAAATTAACTTTCCCGAAATATTTACCAACATGAGGTACTATGCAGGCAACTGCAATTAGATGATCAATTACTTCCTGGTCTTTACATCATTGATTTAAATAAAACTATCAGACAAAGCTTCCCGTGATCACTAGTGATTACACATGTTGGAGCATACCAGCGTATCTATGGATGTGATAATAAACATCTCATGGAGTGCTTGTAGCAAGTACTGCTTTACACCACGCGAAACCTTCAATTTTCGCAGCTGCAAACGTTAACGATTTGATATTTTGAAGGAATTTGAAAAGAAACATCAAGTTCACAAAAGTTACTTCAATTCTCTACCTACAGAATTCTGAAGACAAGTTTAATGTTTATAAATTGTGCATTCTTTCAACTCCCTGATTATTTCAAAACTTAATATAAGTGATGATCCACAGTACAGAATATTGATATTAGCAAAGGGGTACAATACTGGTCTCACCATATCACAATATGTGGGTGTGTGTCTTACAAAGGTTAGAGGTCAGTACCATAACTGGTGCCAAAAAAGATTGTCGTTAACATGTCATTACCAATTATAGTTATCTAGGGAATCCCCAATGTCATGGTGTGGTTATGAAAAGTCATTTTTGCCCAAGTAGAATCATTTTCGACTTCATTTTTTTGGTTCAGCCATCGTAAGCCACACATCAAAGAGAGATCGAGGTTTGGATAACAAAAAATTATTAATAACGAAACTGATTTACATACATTACACCGAAAGAAACGCTACTAATAAGCATGATTCTGTTCATTATCAGACAACTTGTTGTTGTTTTACGGATATGATTATGGCTGCTCAATGGAGGTAAAATATATATTTCATTTAACTCCAAGATTAGTCTGAACATCAAACTAAAATTACGATCATAGAGACTTGTAAAAATGTTCGCCAAAGTGTGTGAACCTGAAACAGTCATATCTAAGAAACGATCACCGACGCAATGAGTACGGCCTTGTAGAACGTACACACGGTCGACGACTGCAAAGCAGTACGTATATACTTACTTGGATAAATGTTTTATGATCTGTTTCTTCAGAATGGCCGCCATAATTCGAATACTAGTAATAAATTCTATATACAAATTCAGTGTTGATAAGACAGTGTCAGCTGTTCGCGTCCATGTTGCTTGTTTGGCAGAGAGGTGAATTGAACTCCTTAGCTTGTTCGTAATTATCACATTTCACATTTATAAGTAACTTGCACAGTCACTTGTAAGCAGATCGATTTATTTGGATTTTCGCCTCTCGTTCTGGTACTAGTAACTTAATCCCGGATGCTAACTAAATAAGCGAAAAAGATATGTCAGTTATTTACACAAAAAGCATACTTTGAACGGTATTCAGTATAATAGTACCATTAATAACCTAAATAGATAGTTTAATGGGTGAGATATTTCATTTTTTTTTTCACAAATTTCAAGGGAGAAAAAAATGATGGATGCTTAACATATCACTAGAAACATGCGCAAGGTTTCCCCCTAATTTGCACTACTGTAAAATACTTTATTTTAGCTGGAATTAATTTTCCTTGAATGTTTTGTATGGAATATATTTTCACTGATTTTTGACAAGTTGAATGTAAAATATAGGAAAAAAAATTATATAGGTGAAAGGTATTTTCACTGAATCATTCCTTTAGCGAAAATAGCGAAAATAAAGTATTTTACAGTATTTTGTTAGAAATTATTGTCTTAATAAAGTGATTAATAAATTGTACCATTTATGAGTATCTAAAATAGAAAATCAGTCGTATCGAGTAGTCGCTACACTTTTTCTATGTTTTCTCAACTTTGAATAATGAATGTAACTTATCAATGAGTCCAAATCTACTAGGTTAGTGCCACGTATTTTAAATTTACACCGATAAATCGGAAGACAATGAGAGATGGGAATGCGCCCTGGTTTTGCAATATACTGTATGCAATGTTTTCTGAAAATAGTTTGTCATATGAACAAGTTACTACCTGGTATCCAGGCCTTATATGTTCAATTGTTTCACTATCAAGGCTTTCAATATATGTGGTAAATTAAAGTTTTGAATGAGATAACAGAAGAGAACACTTTATTCTCCGCTAACGTGACCTCAGATAACAATAAAACGACAGGTTAGCCGGCAACGTATACTATTTTCTAAGGGATGTCTGCAGGAAAAAAAGATAAACAACCAGCCTACTCGCTCTTACAGATTGCATACTAGTAGGTTTCATGTTTTTTCTATTTTTTGACCACATCTTAAATTTGCTTCTAAAAGTTTTAAAACAAAAATCATGAATTATTCGTTAATTTGATTTTCCTGCGTTTTCTTTGAGTTTTTATTGTTATCTGAGCCATAACGTACTCAAAATGACTTCTTAGTCACAGTGTTATGTTATTGGAGAGATTGGCGACCGTACGAACACTTGACGTACATTGATACGTCACCCAGTTATCTTTACAGGGAAGGTGTATCATTAACTTCAATAAATTGAATAATTGCTAATTATTAATTTGGAAAGAATGGAGTTCGTGTCAAAGTTGCCCTCTGGTGTATAGCATGTTTCTGTCTTCTTTGATATACACTACACCTCCCCCAACTTGTTGATGTGTGGGAGCGTGATGATCAATCTGATTAAAATAAGATCCTAGTTTTGGCTTCTTTTTTTGTATATTTTTTTATTTTATTTTGATCTAGTATTTATTTTTTGAAGTTTTGGTAATTACGAAAGCCAACAACGTCGGATTCCAACTTAATCTGGAGGAAAATAATACACCAAGATACTTGTACTGAGGGACGATTTTAATTTCATGATCTCGATAGAACCATTTTTCACCTTGTTTTAGAAAACCACCCCTGCGAAAAACAATTATCTGCGTTTTGTTTAGGTTTAGAGTTAGACCCCAGTGAGAACAAAATTGGTGTATTAAAAAAAATCACAAAATCAAAATCAAAGTAAAATAATAAAATAAAAAGGCATTAATAACAAAAGTAATAAAAAATACAATAAAAATAAGTTTATAGCTAACATAATTAAAGTCTGTACACTACATCAGATTTTAATCAGATTGCGTGATGATGAGCTGTTCAAAACATTGAATTATACAAGTTTATGGCAGAGGCGTGGTTCACTATATGGCAAAGTAACAGAACACCGCCTTGCATCGCAGATATTATGAGAACATCGCAAGTATGCATGCTGGCAGTACAGTCTGCACAGCGATCGTATCGATCGGTGCGATCCCCTATTGCCCGAGTGACGTATGCGATTCTATTTCAGTCACGTGTTACATTGTTACTACATCCGTTGTAAACAAAGGGAAATGTTAGAACGTGACGTAAACGTGACGCAAGTAACATACACTCGAATGCGTCCGTATTACTTTTGAATATGTCCGTTCGGCGTTTTACGGACAGATGAAGTATATTGTTCTCGGTGTCAGATGTATAAAAATATAGTTTAAAAAAATACGATATCGTTATATTATGATATACAACTTAATGTAATAATAATAATAATAATAATAATAATAATTATTATTATTATTATTATTATATTATTACAAATGTAAATACCGGTACTAGTAGTTATTCACTAATATCATTATATTGCTAAAGCGTTTTTAATCAATTAAAGAAACATATGAAAAAATAACCATTTACATTCTGCGGGATTATTTTCCCGAGCCATTAATTAGCTCCGAGCCCCCCCCCCCAAAGTTGAACGCTTTATTCAATCACATTCATTGCATAGTCACATACATCATTCATCAAATTTTAATAAAACGGGATGTTGAAGGCGTGTCCTGGTTAATCGAAACAAATAAAATTATGTAAATAAAAACCATTTTAAAGAAGAAATGTAACGAAACAAAACGTGTTACATCATACAACTGATACAAGCAGTCTGCCGAGCATAACCGGCCTCATTAGACATCATGCGCTCATGTAGCGACATAAGTAAATTTTGTTGACTAATAGACCACAAGTGAGCTGACGCCATTCAAAATATTTTAAAGTACCCAAATCAACTTTGATGCATGTGGTACGCGGTTCATAGTACACATTTACACATTACCTTCGTCGCTGGGGGCTCTCTTTAAATTAATGATTAAGCCCTAACTTGTTCAATTGACGGGTAAATCAATGTCTGGCCTTTCAATTTGTCATGTATTTTTTTTTTTTAAATTCTGATAGTAATGAGGTTTCGATTTTGAAATGTGACTTCTCTGAGGGGGATTACGTTTCAAAAAAAACACATTCCGACGAGTTTAAAGATTATCATGGGTTCGTTAAACCACGGTTACATATTTTGATGGATAACAGTCAGCATTGAACTGTAAATTTTATTCAAATTTGTAAATTTGAACCCAGTCTCTTTTCGCTTTCCAAATTAATAAATAAAAAAAAATCACTGCAGACCACGATAATGAAATAAAAAGAGGCAAACTACCATAGTGGTACAATAGATGATTTTCCGTACAACTGCGAGATCTCGCGAGATGCATGAAAGACGCGCGTTGAACGTCTGCCGCAAAAATCGAACGATTTGATTTTGAACTCGAATTTCTTAATTTCGTAGCTCACATCGACCGGCCGATCTTCGACAGAGGAATATTGCTTTCGAATACCCTCACTTAATCGAAATTGTCTATCATCAAATGTGTACAGCACATTATTAAGCATGGAAATATCCCCCGAAATATTTTCGCGTTTGTCGAATCCCACGCGATGTTTGACGCCACTACGACCTTTGTTTGTCCTGTTTTTACGTTCGATTTCACGCATAACGCGCGATTCTCGCAGTGAACGGGAAATGGTCTATTAAAGGGTCTACGAAAGCAACGGTAGCCCATTACCTTTCTACTACTATAATGTTATTATAGTGGCTCTAAATTACCTGAATGTGAATACAGGCGTTTAACAAGAACGTATGTTTACTATAGTGGGAGGGATGATATAATTGTATAACCTGTACACTTGAACAAAGACAATGTCTTTGATTTAAAAGTTCGAAATTAATTAAATTTTCATAATTGTCATGAAGCCCAGAGATATTTGAAAAACGAATCACAACCAATATTCAGCAAAGAATTGCAAAATAGAGGGGAAAATTAATATTACCTGTGTTTTGCGATATTGTTTCTTGTGGACAATAACCACATGTTGGCACTTTCTCATTCCGATTAATCAATAACGCTATAATACATGATAAATTCAAAACCCTTGACAAATAAAATGCGGTATACAGTGATAATACTAGTACATTATGAACGTGCAATTGAGCCATACATCAGAGGAACATACAGTAGATACCATTTGGTAATCAGTGTCCTGGTGAGTGGTGTAATGATCAGAGTGTCTGCCCAGCAAGATGATTTCGGTTTCAACTTCTGTGGTCGACTGCCACCCTTCTTCCAGACGGACACTGCTGTACATTGAGAAAGTACGCAAATAACGAATGTTGCTAGTGCACCAGAGGCGATGTGAATGGGTTGTGAGTAAAATTAACAGAAAGACCTGCTTAGGATACTTGGATTTGTAAAAAGTGTAGCAGTGCCGTTCATACACAATCCTTCATATACAAATATGTATATTTACATGTACACAAAAACAGAAACATAACTACCATGGAATTCTAAAACAAACATCATTTATTGAATATCAGTCATATTTTTAAATATACATCCACATATACAATTATAAAGCGTTTATGTCAGCACCAACACATCAGCAAATGTAACAAACCTGCAACTCAAAGACATTTCAGTAAATCAAAGACACTAGTTTCTGAGTAAATGCATAAAGACCAAATTAATAAAATTTCATGTTAGGCCCTCTATAGGTAGAATATTTTTTTACTTCGTTTTTATAGAGGTAGGTAAGGAAGTTTCAAGTATAACTGTGCATAATAAAAATACCATACTTCCTTCTATTTTCAAGAACTCACATAGTTGTGAGAATAATCAGTGAGAATGCTATTGCTTTGTGATAGACTTCAAACATTAAATAGTACAGTACTGGTACATTGAATCACTGCACTCGTAGATCTTCTAGGATATTGAGATGGAGGGGAGAGAGGCGAGGCAGTCTTCTCCACAAATGAAAGAAATCACATTAGTTCTCATGCTATGCGTTTTTTTACATGTACCTTGCATAGCTTATTACCTAAATTAATGAGATGTAGAGACTGGAATTCATCACTGTTTATGAAATTTTTCACAGTATATGTTATCTCACTAACCAAATATTCATTGCATTACAGATCTAATGTACTCTAAATATACATTAAAGCATGATGCACTTTAATATTTGGGTGTATGTGCAACAATGGAAAATACTGAGCACTGACATCACTACAATCTATATAGTAACAAAACAGTTCATGTATTTAGCAGGCAAACAGGAAATAATGCATTCATCTGTGAAGCTTGATTAACTATCAATCAATCAATCAATCAATATCTTACAATCCTCAAATGCTAAAGTTGTGCAACTTAATGCACGAGTCTTGGTACACTACCAACTGAGCACTATTCAGCAAACTAATATTGCACAATATTGAGTTTACTACATAATTCCCCTTAACAGCATATATAATGACTAAATGAAACGCTACTATATTTGGTAATACATTACATTAACATTGCACTGCACTGGTCATATGATTTCAGTTGAAGGGGTAGTTAATTAAAAACTTTGATGGAATAGGAAGATGGAGATGTAAGAAGACAAATTGTTAAGGGTGGAAAAAGGTTCCAGACTGAAGAAGTAAAATGCACAGCAACTTTAGAACAAAATCTTGTTTCAGTTTCTCTACTACCTTAAGTTACCGATGGTTTACCCGATTGAATTGTGGACTCAATGCAGACTATAGACTATACTGGTGAACGTAGAAATAATCAAGTTATGTGAAACAACTAAAAGTACAAAGTAAATATACAGGACATTCGTGACAAAACATTGAAACAATTCAAATCTTCACAGTAAATAAAGTAGAAACATGTAAATGCAGTTTAACTAATGAAATAACACACACTCTAAAGGCATCCAGCTTATTAGAGTGGACCTTACCCTTATTATTGCACAAAACTACAGATAGCTTTAGATTTAGCTGTACACATCAGACCCAATTACCATACCATACCATACCATACCATACCATACCATACCATACCATACCATACCATATCTATTATTCAATCTCTACACAATGATAACAAGACTGAAATTCACTGGTTTCCAGAAAGTGTTCACTATGTCAGCCCTTCAAAAAGAGGATTGTCTTTGAATTTATCAAAGAGACCAAATACAGCTGTTATTTGGCCACACACCAGACCATCCCAGGGGCCAGGTGAAAGATTTGCAATGACATGAGAAAATTAATATAAAACTTGAAATGAATGTATAAAACTATGCATTGTTCCACTTGAGGTTAGCATAAATCTGAATGGACAATTACCAGCATGTAGCTGGGCAACAGTTAAGTGACATATACCAAGCTGAAAGCTTCATACATTCTACACTGTAGAAACAAAACTGTGATTTAACATAATGTAATGCAATAGTGTACTGATGTAACTCATCACTGTAATGGATTTGATCTATTACCATCAATTTAACACCAGTCAATAACAAATTATAATCATGAAAAAAAAAATCTTGTGAAAAATAGTTTGCATAATCTCAATTCACCACCCTCAAATACACTTTGAGCTGTATAATATCGCAGCAGTTTTTTGTAAATGCAATTACAGTAACAAAAAACAAAACAAAAATTTAAAAAAAATTGCACAAATGCTTTAGAAAATGTGTTAAAAAAGAAAAAAATACACAGGAAAATGTTACAGTATCCAATCATGCTTCACTCCAATTTTTAATTTACAAAACACTTTGTCATGTACTAATATATCACTCACTGAATTTGCACTTTCTAGTTTCACTATTTAGAATCGTAAATACTCAATTAACTTCAGTTTTCAAGTTTTTGTATTACCAAATTTCAAATTCAAAATGTCATTGTTAATACAGAAACAAGTTCATCTCTAACCCACTACACACACACTTTTTATTTTAATTATTGTAATTTATTTGATAGAACCTTATATCAGCAATTTCTAAAGCTTCACATGCTTCACATTTTCACAAGTTGAATTAATGATCCAGTAAGTGTAGGTGCAGCAAGAGAATAACCAGCTGATGTGGGTTAAGAAGACTACATCTCTTTCATTATTTAAAACAAATGCTAGATTATACATAGGTCAAAACTGCAAATAACAACTGAGAAAATATAACCAAGTATTCCAGGTACTCGTGTTGCAGTTAAGAATTTGAAAATATCACGATGAAATGTCATGATTGCACACAAAAAATATCATGTAGATTCACATCCATCACAGTACAAAGTATTAGTAAGATTTTACATCTTTCAAAAAAAAAACAACAACAACATGTAACGTTTAAACTTAAATTAATGTCATTTTACATGTGGAATTACACCCATGGTGCTTGAATTCAAATCTGATTATTGCAGCAAGTTCTGCAGCGAAAACTCTGAATGAAAGTAAATATTCTAAAATAGACAACAAGTGGATCTCAAAGACCCTGAATCTGAATAATATAAATAAGTAATAAAAACTATACACAAATATGGTTGAAATAACACTGATGAAATGATGATGAAAAAAAATTCTATTTTTGTTGGTATCTTGTACTGTATTATTGAAAAACATTGGTACAATGATTAATAAATTAGTTGACATTTTTGTGATTGTTATTGCTTCTTCTAAATTTTATTACTATAAACAAAGAAAGACTCTCTCCTTTTCTATAAAGGTGATTTATTTCCCCATTTTTTTTTATTAAAGTTGGAACACTCATAATTGAATAAATAGATTTTTTAGAATACATTTGACACATGTGATCCAAGAAGATATGAAGCAAATAAGTGAAATTAAGCACAAGATCTAACACTACAAATGCATATTCTCAAGGGCGAAGCTACGTCACAGAATGTTCTGTAGCTAAGAGGCACCACTGTACCCATATGTATTTTGTGTATATGCAACGACGGTCAAAAAGCTATAACCAAGAAAACAGCACAAACTCAACTTTGAAGTTATCTAGAGCAACCAAATATATACATGTTGAGTGGTAATCTTGTTACACTGTTCACGAGAGTTTCAACAACTGTCCCAAAGTACAGTTTTCTGAGAGTTGTCTGCCTTTGTTTTCGCCGTGATGGTTGCCAGGTGGTGAAAATGCTCGGATGTTCACCCCCGAGAATATATGACATGATATGGTCAGCCAAGAAATATCAAAATGCATAGGATGTCATATTTCAATAGTGTTTGAAGGTAATTGGATATTATACCAACTACATATACCATACTATCGGTATTGTAACTGTGACACACATGATCTGATACTAATCTTAGTTATATTTGTTCAAGTCAACCATCAACTGGTCATCAAAGGTCAGTCTAACTACAGCACAGTTTGTGTTTATTTCCAATCGTCAATACCGGTAATGGTTCAAGGAATAGTTAAAAGTGTGTGGTTTTATGGAATAAGCTCTCTATTGTGACAAAAATCATTATGATGCATATAATAAAAAAAAAGTTCAATATATATATAAAAAAAACAAAAAACGCATGAGATATAGAAAATGTACGATGCTAATAAGCGTGAAAGAATTATCTGAGAATATTCATCATTTCCAAATTACAAACTCAGACCACTATTAAAAATGGTTATACTTTCCTTCAAGCAGCTGCTTGCTCCTGGTTTGTTTCATTAAAGTATAGTTTTATGTGCTTTAGTGTCCTGTTTTTTAGCCTGACTTGTCTCTCTGTTCTTATCAATTGTCCTAGGAATTTTATAAGTCTTTATGTGGTTTACATGAGAAATTGATTGCAAAATTAAAAAAAAAAACTGATCTGAAGTTGATACTTTTAGCAGTGTATGACAAAACCCACAGTTTATCAAGACACCTGTCTTACAGAAAATATTCATACTGAACCCTTATTCAGTATACACAGCAATCATGTCAAGGTAGCAACAAGGAAAACAAGTCAAATGATTCAATTTTCAAGTATGACATTCTATATAACTAACTGAACTATATATCAATGTATATATATTCTGGAAAATTTGAACAGATACAACTTCACATTCAGCCTGAGAATCAGACCCAGCCTCCTACATGGCGTTTAGCTGCACTAATGGACAGGATCCATCAACTAGCATTCCTGTAACAAGAACTCGCAACAATTTTAAATTGAACCTTGAACTTTGGCTGGTGAAGATGACCATGAAATTATCATATCAATTGACAATACCAGTAAGCTTATTTAAATCTGAGGCTGGGTTGTGAATCTGAGGCTGAATTTGAGGCTAGTTTCACAACCCAATGTCCTATCCCAGTGGCAAGCATAAATACATGTTTGAATGCATGTGGCAGCAATGTGCACTAAATACTGACTTTTGACTATTAGAATCCTTTGAGGCATTTTCGTCAGCTCAGGAACTACATAGTTCATAGTCATTCATTCAGTCTTATTGAAATTCCATATAGCTTTTGTAAAGTAATTAATATATATATATATATATACATTGGTATAATCACATGTTCAGTAACAAAATGTCTCAATATCAAACTAATTATTGATATATTTTTCTTGTTGCTACCTTATATGAAGGAAAAAAAGTGAAAAAAACAGAACCATTTGAGTGACAAGTTTATAGAAAAATCTAGTCTTGGCTAAATTTAGGAGGTCAAATTTAAGAGTTGTGTGTCTTGAAAAATATATTATTATCCTAGCCATGTAGAAATAGAAACTACAGGTTCAAAAACCACCATCGATATTGCATATTACCCATCATTGTAACAACCTCATCATGTGACTCATTGCAGCCATTTGCAAAAAGCCATTTTGCTGATCAGAATGCAAGGAAGTCTATAGAAATCACCTTTTGAGTAGAGTACTCTTCAATTTATCAACTTTGACTTTGAGGCTATCTTTCTCTCTCTCCACAGTGATCAACTCCTGCTGCAGGCGAGTTAGTGAAGTTGTAAGCGACAATCTTTCATGTTCGACATTTGCCAGGGCTGTTCTTGTCATCTCTAACTGTTCTTTCAGTCGTTTATTGTGTGTCTGCAGATCAGCAACCTCTTCAGATTGAGGAACCAAATCCTCTAAATCTTTATCCTTGCTTTCTATTGCTAAGGCAACAAAAAGAGAATTGTACCAATTAGATGTTGATCTTACATCAATTATAGAGGACACCTTTACATGTATATTACATTTTGGACAGAGCATATATAAGTAATGAAGGCAAAGAAGGTGGTTGTGACCTGTCAAAACTGAACATCAAGAAAACCGAAGAAAGGTTTGGTTTCATAATGGGGTGTTCAGTTCATATTATAGGTGTATGGAAAAGTGACAAGAGGGAGGCAGAACTTTAACTTCTGATTTGAGAGAGTACCCAGTTTGTTTGATGCAAGCATTTTTACTATGCTCGTCTGAGTTTGGTATCAAAAATTATCACTGTTTTATTACCTACCCCCAACAACAAAACAAAACAACAACAATGAGACAGTGAATATGAGGTGAAATTGTACAACAAAACACAAACTTTCAGAGATACATTTTTGTGGGGGAAATGCAATCCAAAAGTGTCACCCATGTTGTTATTTTCTGTACCAATCTAGGTCTCCTGGATGTTATGACATCAAAGGCTTTAACCGTGAAATCGCATTAGAGGCAAAAAATATGCAAGGAGTTGCGACTACCCTTGACCAATAACTGTCTCATAAAGAGCTAATAATAGTGTGTATCAACTTGCCATTAATATGGAAGACTCCATCTAGTGTTCTCTTGACTATTGCAGATTGTAAATATAATATAAGTGGTTCATCAGATTGAAGATGACATAAAGGGTAAACTGGCGGCGAGTCACTCTGTGGGATTAAAAAAGTACAAAATACAAATAATTTCATCACATTTTGTATGCACATTAACAATGTATTCACCATAAAGAATAGAAACTTAAAGATATCGAGAGGGGTTAAAATTAAATTACATGAACATGGCATTAAGCTTATCTTGACAGATTTTAAGATTTCTCTGTATTTGGGTTTGTGACATGATTGATGATACTAGTACATGGAAATTGTGGGGAAACATGTCTGAACAATCAAATTTAGCATACACGATGATTAGTGAGAATTTTGGACCTGCATGTTTTGGGGAGTAATTGCAGGTTCTAATGCATGAAGTCATGTACTACTAATAGAGCAAATACAGTATTGTATGTAGAAGTATGCACAATTTTACAACTTGGTACTACTAATAGAGCAAATACAGTATTGTATGTAGAAGTATGCACAATTTTACAACTTGGTGGTGATATGTTACCAAAAAATTTAAAAAGCAAAAAGTTTGTTTTCAAACATTAGAAACTTGAACTTTATAAAGTATTGTACCAAGTATAATATTCAGTGTCAATCAATTGTAAATAAACAATACTTACTATTAACTTAATATCAGCCTTTGTAATCTTAATATCCATTGGCATACAGGGGCCAAGTAATTCATCTTCAATAAGACTCAAGAGATTAGTGACAGTAGAAAGAGACACCTTGGTATTAAGTTGATCTACTCTGACATCCAGATGACTTCTATCGCCAACACCAGCACAGTATTTCTCAGCTGAGGGACCCATACTAAGTCTGACAGACACCACTGGATTCTCTACTTTACTTGCTTCTAGTGGTGGCGCTGATTTAATTTTGGAAGATCCATCTAGAGAGAAAGTAAAAAGTAGTCAGTGAATTTATAATAGAATAGAATAGAATAGAATAGAATAGAATAGAATAGAATAGAATAGAATAGAATAGAATAGAATAGAATATAATAGAATAAAAGAAAAAAAGAATTAAATCGAATAGAAGAAAAAAGAATAGAATAGAATAGAATAGAATAGATTAGAATAGAATAGAATAGAATAGAATAGAATAGAATAGAATAGAATAGAATAGAATAGAATAGAATAGAATAGAATAGAATAAAATAGAATAGAATAGAATAGAATAGAATAGAATAGAATAGAATAGAATAGAATAGAAAATTAAAACGTGTGTAACTGAATATAATTAATGGAGTGTGGAGGGACGGTGGCAGAACTAAACAAGAATGTGTGTTTTCTTTAAATGAAAACTGAGTGAAAATGGAACACAATGCAACAAATGACATTCTCCTGGCATTCCCCTAAAATATAATATATGACATTACAAGACAAACATTCTCCATGCAAATACTGTAAACAAACAAACAAACATTGATATTTACGAGTTGTAGAATTAGCTCGCTGTTGTCTGGTGACTGAAAAACAAAAATATTGCCCACAAATAAAGTAGTCTGGCAATTATACAGTAACATTATACAATATAGATACAGAGCAAATATTCCGGGTGTAGATTAACCAATAGAATGTAGTTCATGACCAGGTAGTGTCTAATATTTACCATCTAACACTAAACCAGCTACAACTACACTATCCTAATACCACTGAATGTTAGGTGTAGATTAACCAATAGAATGTGGTTCATGACCAGGTAGTGTCTAATATTTACCATCTGACACTAAACCAGCTACAACTACACTATCCTAGTACCACTGAATGTTAGGTGTAGATTAACCAATAGAATGTAGTTCATGACCAGGTAGTGTCTAATATTTACCATCTAACACTAAACCAGCTACAACTACACTATCCTAGTACCACTGAATGTTAGGTGTAGATTAACCAATAGAATGTGGTTCATGACCAGGTAGTGTCTAATATTTACCATCTAACACTAAACCAGCTACAACTACACTATCCTAGTACCACTGAATGTTAGGTGTAGATTAACCAATAGAATGTGGTTCATGACCAGGTAGTGTCTAATATTTACCATCTGACACTAAACCAGCTACAACTACACTATCCTAGTACCACTGAATGTCAGGTGTGGATTAACCAATAGAATGTGGTTCATTTCCGGATAATATCAAATATTTATCATCTGACACTAAACCAGGTTAAATGAACAATTGTCTAACATTATAGAAATAAATTTCATTATTAACCCATATCACATACGAATATATCAGTATTCTATGATATTACAGACATGTGAATTGGTAGCATAGCTTAGACATCAGTATTAAAAGTAACTATGTAATTACAACTACATACTAAACACTATATTTCATTGATATACATTAAAACGTCACAGTTGTCACAGCATGTCATGCTCTAAATAGGTTCCATAAAATGTACACAATGAGTGCAATATGAAATTTCATGTGCATGTCACAACAACTGTGATGTTTTAAACACATTAACAAGGAACTATCATGGTATCATAAAGCTGAAAATGATATCATCTTTATACTTATAACTATGAAATTGTTAATAGTAAAATGAATGATTTTATCAATACACGACACACCAACAACAGGTAAATTATAAAAGAAAATATGGAAAAGAAGGTTACGAACTTCCAATGACCATGAAAAAAAGTTTTTTTTTTTACAACTGGAACACTCCAGACTCAATTTATCAATCGTCTCAGATAAACTAGGTAGAACTAGACATTTATCTTGAAAACTAATCATAATGATACAACATACCTGCAATGCGCTTGGATATAAAATAATCCATATCATGATTCCTCTTCTCTTCAAGTTCAATATCATGAAGCAGCAGTTTGATGGTTGAATTGTCACCGTTAAACTCCAATGCTATCTGGAAATCTCTCAGATTCGCAATCACAATGGACACCTATTAGAAAACAAAAAAACATATTTGTATTTTTCAAATTATTTAGTCATGGAGCAGACCTATACAAATCTATTAACATTATTATTGTCTGTCTGTATTACATGTGGTTGAGCTTACAACATATATGTATTTAGTGTAAACAATTCTCATTATATGTCAAATACAGGGCAAGTGTTTGGAGATGTTCATGCCACCTTCTGGGGATCAACTGTTGCTGAAGAGGTATGCTAGGATGCAGGTAATATAATAATTGGGGATAATACAGTTGGATTCAAGAAGAAATGTCATTCTGAGTATTATATCTCAATGAAATATTCTACAAATTACATTTTCAGAATGTTTGCAATTTTTATCCGAAAAGCTTTATCGATTGATCTTATATCCAATGACACAGTCCACACAATACAATGTAGGGTGAAAACGTTAGATAGTCGCATATATTTGTTATCTGATACCACTGACAACAGTTTAATTCAAAACACAATAGCCTGAGTAACTTCCAATTTTAACATAGGATAGCAAAACATAAAAACAAAAACTTTTTATTTTTAATGTAAAATGCATGAGGGCGCTACGTACAATTGCCAGTACAAAACAAGTTCACAATGAATATGTTGCATGTACATGGTCACAAAAAACATGTTATTGGTACTTTTTTTATGGTTGCTGAAAAGGCATTTACAGCAAGGTTTTGTAGACAAAATTAATCAATTGTTCTGTGTCAATTTTTGCATTTTCACATGTTTTGTATATCAAAAGATTTGATCTGACTATGTGAAAATGTCATTTGTTTGACTTACGTTACGTTGTTTCCTATCAGTGACACAGCTACCAGCGATAGATGGAGTACTGGCTCTGCTACTTGTACGGTCACTGGAGAGGTTTGTAACAATCTGTGGAACGTTTTCACTACCACAGCTAGCATCCGACTCACCATCTCCAGAAATAGATGGCACACCACCACCAAGGACGACAAAGGGGTCGCTGGTGTCACTGCTTACTGATAACGTATCCCAGTGAGAACTGGAGTCTAGTGAAGATATTTCATCCAAGGATACCTGAGATTCTGATAGACTTGAACTGAGGCCTGCGAACGAGGAACTTTTAGGAGACTTGACTAAGCCACTACCTTTAAGTTTTTGTAATTGAATGTAGTTTATGTCACCCTTACTTCCCAAAGGTGTATCATATTTTGGAAGAGAGTTAAGCAGTTCATTTTTCTTGCTTGGTGAACCGACTTGCAGGGTAACGAAATCCCGGTTTACTTTTCGGAATTCTACTTTTGGCTCATCAGTTATCTTCAAATCTTCAGCTATTCCACCAGATGCAGATGATTCCTCTACTAATATACCCCCCTCACTCATCTCACTCATCAACTCATTGCCATCATCCACATGAACAGTTCCTTCGCTATTCTGTTTCACTTCAAGATCAGATTTCCCGGTCTCGGTTGTAGGTGTTCCAAGACCACTGTCATGTGATGTTACACTGTCTGATGGAACACCGCTAGTTTCAACACTTAACAGCTGCATCTCCTTTTTTGAACCATCAAGATTCAACCCATCTTTAAACTCATCTTCTCCTACATCTGGCAGTGGTGGCATGAGAAGGGTCAACTCAACCTGCTGGAGCCTCAGAGAAATCATCATGCTTTTTACTTGGCTTGGCTGCTTGAAGAACATCACATAGTCTTCTTCAAGTACAACCATCATAGCTGAAAAAGAATCTATCAGTCTTAGAAGAAAGAGCAGCTGATAGTGATTCAACATAAACCTAGCCTTAGAATCAGAATGAACAATGATGCATCTGTCAGCAATGTAACTCTCCTCAGAATCATCTGCAGCAGAAGGTTCCTCTTCTTGCTCTCCACCATGCACGTTTGTCTCCGGACCAGTGAGAAAGTCAGCAAACGTTGAGGAGGAACTGTCAGTACTTGTGCTGTAATGCACATATCGAGGAGGTGGGGGACTTCCTTTAGAGTCGCTGTAACAATCTCTTGGATCAGGTTCTCTTTCTGTGAGAGAGTTCAGGAAAACAGAGTCTGACTGAGATCTTGAAAATGGATAAGCAGCTGATGCTTCAGGGCTAGCAATAGAGGAATCCATACTTGACTCAGTGGAAGATTTAGATTTGTAATATTCATGTAAGAGTTTCCTCCTCTGCACTCTATCCATTTCTTGTATTGCTGTTATGGAATGTTTAGATAATATTGTATCCCCTGGGTTTGCAATCTTTGCTTTATTGCTTTTCTCACGATAACTCTTACTGTTCTTTGGGAAGCATACCCAGATAGAAAGAGGGATAGCTTCAAGAAGAGATACTGGCCTCCCCTTTGTACTTTCAGCACCAAGAAATTCTAACCACACCTGATCAAAGTTCACACACCAAATGTCTTCAGATGCATAGGTTGCGAAAGACTTTGAATGTAACGGGGATCCTTCAGAATGTTCTAAGCCATTACTGTGTCTTTGCTGAGTAGGGTCATCACACTCACTCTGGTTCCTCGCAGCCTGATCAAGCATTGCAGGTACTGCACCATTTTCACATACTTTTGCAGAATACTTGTCTGATTCTGCGCAATGTTTAGGGTTTCTTGGCTTCTTGTCATCATAGGCATGATTCCAAAACATCTTTGGGACACCATTGAGGTCGTTTTTATCACCTGGGTAAGACTTCCTTTCACAGAACAGCTTTCCACTGTACATGTTTTGTAGAGTAGATCCTAGATCTGATTTGGTTGAATTGGTTGCGCTTCGACAGTTTGATATTGTGATCTGCGATGACTGTATTTGTAACGACTTTGGTCGGTCTGGCTGGTGTAGAACCTCAGGCTCAGCTGGAAGAACAAACTGCAAAGACAATTGAGAGCATTTCATGACAGAATGAAAAGATGTTGTTTTTCATCATATGCAGCATAGTCTCTGAATAAAATTAGATGTACAATTGTCACATGACATGTGCGACTCATTGGCTTAAGTGACCCTTAACACATTCAAATACTGAAATTTCAAAATTGGTACCAGTTAGCTAGGTGGCCATTAAAAAAATAAATAAAAATAATAAAAATCAAATCTCTATATCAAAGCCTGCTCAAAATCAAAATGGGATATTCATGTAAACAAAGTCTTATCTAATATTAAAACAAAATGGCATAAATAAATAAACAAAGAAATACTAATACTAGTACTACAAACATTTGATTATTGCATAGTAAAATACTACAATTCTTTGGTAAGCTACTATTTTGAACATTTTAGTTTGCATATATGCAACATACTGAACATTACGGGAAATTTTTAACAGATATGTAATCACTGTTAACTGATCAAATACCTTTGGCATTAATGCATCTATTCTGATATCCCTATGTTCAAACTCAATAACTGGGCCACCATCATCTTTCTGCAGATAAAAACAAACGTATGATTAAAGTTTGTTATGCCACTAGGGGGCAATATTTTCTTTACTTATACAATGTATGGTCCAAGGCTGCTACTTAAAATAAATTTTTAACACTTTCAATGTCAAAATCAACTTTTGTCACTTTTGTCAAAAGTTAGTTAAAAAATTACAGAAAAATACATAACAATAGACAAAATGTTGGACCAAAAATTTTGACAGGAAAAAATATCCAAAGAGGAATGAGCATCATAAAAAATACATATATACTTACAACACCAGTAGCCATGTGACTGGCAAACTGGCTAAGCCATAGTATAGTTGGTATATCCAGAGTCAACTGCAGTGGGTTCAATTTCACAAATACATTTGCTTGAGGAACTAGAGAAGAATATAAAATAGAACATAAAAAGTAATTTGATGTATGTATAATATTATCATGGTTATTTTCTTGAACACGATGCATCTCAATGTCCCCCATATATATATACTTACAATGTAAGGAGTTGTTTCTTCATTTGGATAGGGCTATGAGCATTCAATGTCAAAGTGGGAAACAAAATAATACATTTGTGTATAAAATGGGCATCATAGTTACCTGGAAAGTCAAGTCCCTCTGGAAAATAGTATGATGTGTACTCAACATGTAAGGATGAGATTTCAGGGGGCAAAAACAACGCCTTCTTATCTGATGATAGAAATTTCTTGGACGGTGCCTTGTGACTAGATTGGGTTGTTGACACAGCATAGATTGAGAAATCCTCCAGTCGTAGAACCAGCGTGTTCTCAAGTAATCTTGCCTGCTTCTTGCTCTTTGTCTGCGGTATTGAGTGACCTCTTACTTGATGGCCTCTGTCCTCTGTGTGTGGCCTCGGCTGAGACTTGAACGGCCTACCACCCTCCCTAGCGTTGTTGACCTGTTGTTTGAAGTGGGCCATGAGATGTTCTACCCAACAGTCTCTGGCTGACATTGCATCGTCAAATCTTTCCCAATGTGCCCTACTGGTGTCTACAGGATGAGAAGATAGGGAAAGCAAATAATTAATAGCAGATACAATTCCATTATTCGAGAGTAACAAGAGAACACATTGTATTATTGTGATATCACTTATGAATTTTGTAGCACCAAGTACAAGGCAAGGCATTACAATGGCTTTTGTAAAACTGTAAAACTGAGTGTAATGCATTAGGGAAGTGGGCATTGGTTTTCAATAGTTAGTGAAATTCGCAAAACTTAGCCTTTAGCTTTCAGCTGGGATCATTTCAGATCATGACACTTTAATGGTTTACACATTATATAATATTTTGTCATCATAATTAATGGGCAATATCTACTATCCATGGTAGTAGTGAGATATTTCTTTTACTGGTACATACTTGCAATGTGATATGGGTAAAGGTCAAGCGAAAACTTCTGTAATGTAATCTGCATAGCACCTCCATCTGTACGTCTTCGGAAACTTTCTGGTGAATAATCAGAAAATCCCAGACATGTAATCATTTGTTCAAGTTAAAAAAAATGGAAATAACAAATAAACCTAGATAGATTAGAACAGCAGACTAAGCCTGAAATATCAGATCGTTCATTAGCCTATTTGATTGTCTGACAATCCAGGAACTTTACTAGCAATGATTCAGCATGCTGGAATGCACATGTTGTATATATGCATGTCACAGCTGCTTGACAGAATCATAGTTTTGTCTATGTCGGTGAGGTTACATTGTGATGTGTATTTAAATCTATAAGAGATACAGCTCTTATGCCTAGACATGGTATTAATCTACAGGAGATACAGGTTTTATGCCTAGACATGGTACTAATCTATAGGAGATACAGCTCTAATGCCTAGACATGGTACTAATCTACAGGAGATACATGTACAGCTCTTATGCCTAGACATGGTACTAATCTACAGGAGATACAGGTCTTATGCCTAGACATGGTACTAATCTATAGGAGATACAGCTCTAATGCCTAGACATGGTACTAATCTACAGGAGATACAGCTATAATGCCTAGACATGGTACAAATCTACAGGCGATACAGCTCTAATGCCTAGACATGGTACTAATATACAGAAGATACAGCTTTTATGCCTAGACATGA